AGAGAACTTCAGTATGACTACAATACGGACATGAAAGCAATGCCTTACTTACTCTAAACTTAAAGACATCATAATTACGATGCTTTTCTCTCTATTTTAAAGTCATATTAAACCCGTAAGCCACCATGGCCCTTCGGGCCTTTGATTTAGATCTACATCGTAAATTACACAGTTTCAAGTACATGAATATATTTGTTCTTGTATCTGTCCATTGATATGTTTCGAGTATATAATGATGGCACTTAACACCATGCTAAGTAAAGAAAACTATATCAATAAATTGATTAAATCACAGTCATCAAGAAAGAAAGAGGTTTAAGATTACTTAAAGAATTTTAAGCTTTCATAATGCTCTTTTCCAGATTGCTCCTGTTACCCATCCTGCGACGACCATCAGAATTGTTGTTTCCTGAAAGAAATTGTACCAACATCGAAACTTTGGTTTCTAAGAAGTAAATTGTCTTTATCCGATGACAGGGCAAGTGGAAGGATCGTTTCGAAACGATTTTATCAATCTTACTGGGTTTATTAATGATGTTCCAAAACAGTAACTATAATGACGACACAAGGACATTCCATTATGCCAAGTACGAAAATGTGGGGATGAAAACGACTGATCCGTGGGGCTCGTTTTATACCAGTATCTTCAAAATCAACACGAAAAAATATATAAGAACAGCGCAAGCGCAGAAGCTGAATAATGTTACCGATGCTGTGTATTGTGGGATTTTTATATAAATTTGCAAAATATTTGCCAAACACAATACACATAAAACGATTTACCTCAGTATATTTCCAACTTACATCAGAATTCACTTCCTAAACTTTGCCGTTTGTTTTTTTAAATATCCTGGGGATGTTTTTTTGATCTTAAGTCTGAAAGGTTGCTTTACAAATTTGAATTTCAGAACTTGCAAAAATAAAAAGGTTCGCTTATACCTGAAAAAAAATGAACCTTACACGGTCACAAAATCAGACAGGCTTGCACAAGTGGACTTGTTTCACCTTATCGAGCGACCAGATATGTATGCGAATGTATTTTGGTTATATATGCAATGGCAACATCAATACTCCGAAAAAGACAAATGTTATATTGATCTTGACGGATCTTTCAAAGATTTTAGCGGCTTTTTTAATATGCACTTTCTTGTTGATGGGATATTCCTTTCTTTCAGACAGTTTTCGTAGGTTAAAGAAGTAAAGAAAGTTCAACTTCCATGCCCTGAAAATATGTAGTTGACAAGGTAAATGTGTTTCTTGATGTTTTTGTGGTATCTTTGTTTGTATGTTGGTTTGTTTTACGCTGATTTTTCTCCTACTTCGGTTTGTCAATCCATTATTTAAACCGGCTTACCTGGATAACTAAGCGGTATTACCGAATTCTCCAAGTGAACAACTACTTTCCACATTATCAGAATTTCTCAATTGGCTGTGAGAGACAATTGACCATTAGGCACAATGCACGAGATCAATTTTCACGGAGAAATTTCGCCTCGCCCGGGAGTCGAACCAACGACCCTTCGATTACTTATTCGATGCTTTCCCAGACAACAGTTAGTGTTTTATGTTTGAGTGACGGATTTTTTGCATACGTATATAGCATTGTACCATTGTATATTCTGTACTGTCAATACATTTAGCGCCATTCCTGATCCATTCATAAATATAATTATAAAATACGCAATAAACAGAAACTGTTTTTAAAAGTATTAGAATAAGCAGGCTAAGCTTTCGAAAAATAATTTTTGATATTACCAAAGGAACTATCAACTGCTGATGCCCCCAGCCGAATCCGAAAACAGTCAAAGAAAATGCCAGTTATTTTTCTTTTGATGTTTAGCACCAAAAGAATGTTGAAACAAAAATTCGAAAGAATTGCATAACAGTTACTGGATATAGAATGTATCACAAGGGTGACTAACTGATTTAAAAATAAAGGGTAATTTTACAATTTTCAGGATTATAAATTTATCAAATATATCGGACACCATCATTATTAGCACATGTCGTATTTATTCAATGTGACAGAATTCTATGAGAATTGATAAACCGATAAAGTTAAAAAATCTATCCAAAATAGATTATTCTGTAGGGAATTAAATGTGTATTTTTAGGACAAAAAATAGATGATCAATGAAAGGGATATAGCTGTTCTGCATTGTATTGCCACTTTTAAAAAATTTTTAAGACATTCTTATTGTTCCTTGTCCGTTTTTTTTGGGTTTGTGTCTTTTTTCCATTTTTTTCCTTGTTTGCATTTGGGAAATTTTTGTTGTTTGATCTTTAAAGTTTTTTTTTAAGATGCCCAAAAAACCTTTCAGACACGTATATTTTGTCTGGTCCCTTTTGGGGATTTAAAATAATAACTGTGTGTTTTGGTGAGGAAGGGAATTTTTATGAACAGGGTAGTTTTTTCGACATTGTACTGACAGGGTGATCAGTGTTTGACTTTAGAGAGACATTTCACCAGTAAAAAACTTTTGTTTGAAATTCCACGAAAAAGGCCGTATAACTGGAAAAAACAAATTTAGTCTCTAAAAGAAATTTTCCCTTTAAAACTAACATGCACAGGAAACTGTATTTTTTAAATTTTTATAAAAAATTATTCCTTTAAAACCATTTAAAGTTGGAAACTTTTTTAAAAAAACCTTTTTGAAGTTTTTAAAAAAATTTCAAATTGGGGCGCTGAACATGAGTAATGGGAACCATACATGAAACATGTCTTGTGAACTTGGAAATTTGGACACACAAACTTACTCCAATGATGAAGTCAAATTTACTTTCACCCATCAGTCAAAGAAAAAATAAAAACTCTTTGACATTTTGAAGGCCCCGCAATTTCAGCGATTTAATTATTATGCGAAATACATTGCAGTTTGGTGTTAGTTATTTTTGGTTTTGTCAACCGAAGCTTGTTATTTCTGCGGGAACAGATAGAACTTAAGACTCATCCTATTAACGAGTTTTATGGGACAAAAAATTGTGTTGTTTCATAAAAAAGTTACAAAATCAGCCAAAAATGTTAATTGGTCTTGAATTTGAAATGACTGCCGGGGCACCGGGGTATTCGAAGGGAAAATGAAAGCCCCAGGCTATGGGTTTTGGAAAGATTCAGGTATTGATGGAAATCAGATTTTAAATAAACGTTTTCGTTAAATTTTGGGCTAGCTAGAGTTGCTTTCCCTTTTCTCTTTTTTAAACTGTTTTATTTTTGGGTTTTTTCTTGTTGCACCAAATTTTCTGGTAATTATTTAACTTTTAAAAAACCCTTAATGGATAATTTTTTCTTTGCGTCCACAAAAAAGGGCCCCCTAAAACAAGGCGAAAATTTTAAAAAAAATTTTACCCGAAACTATAACATCGTATGCTGTGAATAAGATGAATGTACTTGTCTAAGCTTGTGAATGGCATTTATAAGAAATACAAACGTAGGTTTTACAGTCGTCAAATCAACTTTATGAATGCTTCTGCTAGATATTAACAAGCACACATGGAAAAGAATATTGATTGACTCCACATTAGCAAGGATGTCATAGTCTAGTTGTCGAAAATGCCATATTTAGGATAATACTGACGATTTTTAAAACTTGAACTTTAGCACACAGTCTTAATTATTTCCCATAAATAAATCAATCAAATCCAACCAATCAAACTAAATAAAACATTGCTTTTGCGCGATGTTCGCATTTAAGTTTTCTTATTTCTTGAAGTGTTTTGTCGGTCATTGTTTACGCGTGTGCACGTGCATACGTGCGCGCATTTGTGTGTGATTGCTTGTGTGTATGCGTGCGTGTACCATTGCTTTTTACTTAAGTCTGAAATCAAATTAGTTGTTCAAGTCTTGTTTGTTTGTTTTCGTTGGGTATCAATATTTACCATGATGCCTCGAGCGTGAAGTATGTGCATGATTATTATTATAATCATTATAAATGTGGGGAAAATTGATATATTTTGTATCTAGACACACCTACAGTCGTTCAAGAAATATGAAAATAGATTTTATATTGATTTGTGTTTGTTTTGGTGGTTATGGTGTTTTGTTGTTGATGATGAAGTAAGCTGTTTTAAGCTTCAAAATATGAACAGTTTGTTCTATCATTACTGGTCGTGCGACTGTACAAATGTCATAACATGTATTTATTTTTATATAAAATGTTATTTAAACTTATCCATCAGCTTTGTCATTGAACACATCAATACACGCTCGTATATTTGACGAAACTAGTTTGCGTTTAATCGGGAAGCTCCGAGATATCGCTCTTTCTCCAGATTTGTTATCATTTTATGACTTTTATTATGTTAAGATGTAAACTCCAATTTGATTACAATCTAGCAACTGTTTAGTGTTGTACATAATCGTTGTTTGAATGTTTGATATATTGTGAAATCGTCCGTTTTGCTTTCGTTTTCTATTGTTTCGAATCGTCATCTACTGCGTTGCATTTGGCTAATTTCCTGAAAAGATTTATACTATGTAATTTAAAATATGCTTATGTGAAATATCTCATCGAATACGTTTTAAATGGAACAAATAACAATCATTAAACAACTCTTTGAACACTGTGGTATTGATATTTAGTTTTCGTAAAACTTAACATAGACGTTTTCGTGTAGAAAAAAGCAATTTAGAAAAGAGAATTAGCCATCAGTTGATGTTTACATTTCATCAACATTTAGAGATGAACTACTTTTGAATAATACTTGAACATAAAATAATTTAAAATTATTATTAAATCTCAATAATTTCATTGACATTGTAATACATAATAAACTGATTGGGCCAATTGGACAATTTGATATAAGAACAGCTTATTATCTTGAAACGTATTTTTCTAAAAAAACTGGTAGAAAACAAATAAATTGCAAAATCAAGATCACTGCAACAGTATTTTATTCACAGAACGAAAATATTACCTTTTGTGTTTAACAAAAACAAGAAGAATAAACACAGATGACAAGCATGACGGCACCAGTGATGGATCCAGCAATCATGTATATACTTTCCTCGTCTTGCATTCCTGAAAACAGACAACAATTTCCTTTAAATTATAAATTCTATAATAATGATATTGGTTCATGTAACATAACTAGAATTGTGTTATTCATTGAATACTTTTAAATAAAATGTTGAGAAATATTGATGAAATAAAACGCATATTTTCATTTTACGTATTTTTACTGTGACAAAATATGTTTCACTGCAGTGAAACATATTTTCCGTATTTTCACTGATGTCTTTCCGGACTACTTCCTTCTTATTTCAGCAAATACACTAAATTTCATGAGTAATCTTTCAAATTGTAATGTCAAAAAGAGAGAAAAGTGTATATAAGAAACATAAAATTCAAGTTTTTTTTTATATAAATACAAGATTTATTTTATTCGAGTGGTATAAAAATAAATATTTTTTGAGCGGTATTTTCATCCATTAATTAAAGAACTTGAATATCCTCTATGTACATGTATTACGTCTATTAACATTTATTTGGACATGATACAAAATGGAGGTATAATTTATTAGTCGAACGAATATACAGATGTCAAATTAATAAATTTGTATATTTAAGTAAATGGCATTTTTTAACTAGTTTAATTACACGTGTACAGATAGTTGACTTTCAGAAAGTTATTTCAGCATAAGGTGTACATTATACAAAGAATGGAAATGAATGTAAATGAAAATAAATTATAAATATATCATGAATGTTTATAAATGTACTATGTATGTTTATGAACATTTGTACATGTAAAAATGACATGTTTTGAATAATAGATCATGTATGTGTAATAATGTACTATGTATATTTATGTTCATGAAATGTCATGTACATACACGCATACAAATGTACTATGTATGTTTCATATTTATTACACATCAGTGTGTATCATGCATTTCAAAAATAAAACTTTAGATTTTACGTAAGATTGCAGTCAGCTATGTTAACATTTATTTTAAGCAGTCGCTGCAAAGATAGGTTTATGCATACTCTCAATGATAACTTCTTTGACTCATTATTATTTTTTTATTGGAACAAAAATAAAAGGGCAAGTTAAATGCATTGCTGCAAAATCAAGTGTAAGTCATTCATTTGCAATGTAAGTACAAAGTAAATAATAGAGCTGGTTTCAGTATAATGTATTGTATTTGAACTATTAATATAACTGAACATTTATGATGTATTACATGTCTTAAACCGAGATCCTTCTTCTTTTTACATTAATTGCTCGCTACTATTTCTAAATAAGAACAACTAACTTTTTTCACAAATGCTTACCTTTCTGTTGTTTCTTTAAACATGAAAATAAACCAGGGTAATTGTTACATTGCAGTGAATTTTTGCACGGGTTATATGCACATTCATCGATATCCTCGTCGCAATTTCTTCCTTTCCATCCAGGTGAGCACGTGCAATTGTAATAGCCTAGTGCATTCATGCATGTCGATGAATGCTTGCACGGGTTTATCAAACATTCATTTATATCTATATCACAGTTAAGTCCTGTCCAACCAGTTGGACAACTGCATTTGTATGAACCCTGTGTATTTACACATATGGTGTTACTTGGGCAAGGACTTCTCGTGCATTCATCGATGTCAGCCGTACATTTAATTCCTCGCCATCCCGTAGCACAAACACAACGGAGTCCTCTACCACGCTTTTTGCAAACCTCAGTTGCTCTGCACATAGAGCTGCAAAAAATAACATATACTGTAAAATCATATTGCGACTCTCTAGTGTCACCGGTTGAGGAAGACCTTTCTTGCCCCTCCTGCAATATTTCAGACAAGAAGGAGTAATATCAATAGAAAAACCGACCTTTGTCGACTAACTAAATAGCGTTGTCACATGAACAAACTGAAAGTCCTAAGCGCGATTCGAACGAACAACGCCGAAGAACATACTGTTAGAAGTCGGCCATTTTTACCACTAACCACTCGGCTACGTAGACACCGTTTTCTAGTCTTTCTGAAGCTCCGAACACAAAAAAATCAAGTTTAACTAATTAATCAGGTGCGAATTGTATCCAACAAAGAAACACATATATGCAAATCTTCTTCACCAGTTTCGCAACTTGTTACTTTATTAAATGTATTTACTTATTCAATGGTCCCGGCTAATCATGCATCAATTTCTCATTACAAATGATAGATTATGTGTAAGTTACTTTTTTGCTAAACAAAAACGTGTAAAATGATAAAATACCGTAAAATAGGTCTTTGAGCGTTTCGTTGCCATTTACGCTGATATTAATACAGGCCTTTTATCATTATCTCAGCAGTCGAACAACCTAACTAGCTTTCCTGGATAACTAACCAGTTATTACCAATTTCTTCACAAGTGACCATCGTCTTATCCAAATTTTTCTCTTTTTTTTTCTTTTTTTTTCTTATCTAAAATTATTTCTCGTTCTCGGTATCAGCAGTGAAAAACAACTGACCATATGACCCCGACCCACCGCCATTAAAAAATAGAATCTTTTTTTATCTCAATATAAGCGTTATTTGTTGTTTTTTTGCAATAAAGACTAAAATATTGCATTAAAATACCGTGGTGGACATAAATATAGATTACTCATTCAAACATTGGTCTTGGCACCACTCTCCAGTCCATCCAGGCATGCATTTCCGACCATGATCAGTGGTAGAGTTATCCTTTATTTCACAATGGACATCCTCTCCAGTCCAACCTTCTAAACACTCACATCTGAAACGATACTTTCTAGTTTCTAATATGTTATGTTATGGTTATTGCACACATAAAAAAATTCTTTTTTCTAAAAGCTAAATAAATATATATTTTTCAAGGAGAACGGCATGGGTACATTCGTCCAGTATTGCCTACAATGATCTGTACATATCTGATAATGATCAATTATATGTATCAATAAAATAGATAGATTATACAATCCAGCATGATGAACTCTCAAAACGTTGAACTTTGTTAATAGTTAACATGAAATTATTTTTATGTCGTTCTTTGCGTTTCACAAATAATACGGGGTAGTCAAATGTAGGTACCGCCTTGCCTTCCCCGGCTATAGACTTCACGTGGATATTTAAAACATAAAATTAAGAAATTTAAAAGAATATAAAAGTGAAATTGCCAGTTTCTTTTCTAGTTGGGCGCTGTCATTTTGAATGCAACTCAATGATTTATAAACGCCGGTGTATTCCGATAAAAGAACAATCGCAACTTTTTGGCCTAGAATAATTGCCGAGGTGATCCGACTGAATATGCATAAAAACAAATGACACCTTTGAAACGAAAAATGTAAATTAAACAATTAACGATTTTTTTATCTGACTTTCTTGTCATAGGCTTTGCCTACATTCATTTTTATCACTTGTATTTAAATTATTTACTCTGCATAGATAAAATAATAGTTACTTTCTTGTATGACAAATATAATATTATTATCTAAATAATAACTATAAAACTTCAATAAGTTACTTTACTTGTAACTTCCTATTGTATTATTGCAGTGACCACGATGATAGCAAGGATTTCCGAATTTACATTCCTCCAAATCTTCTTCACAATTCTTGCCCTTCAAAAAGAGTCATTTAATCCCATTACAAATGCATATAATGATAATTCAAATAGAACACGTATTAAAGGTCCAGTTAAATAGAGATACACAGAATCCCTAAAGAAATCCCAACACGACAAAACTGAAAATGTTGCAGGCTCAGTTTGATTGAGCCTGTTCATGGACGGTATTGGATAGTGCAAGTTACCGTCCATGATCCCTAGCACCGGTTTCAGCAGAATACAAAAATAGTGAAATTTTGAAATTAAAAACACCATCAGATCTGTTCATACGGCGGTTATCATGGGACGTTCAATGTGACACAGTAGTGCCATTCCATGAAAAGCGTAGTGTGGTCCCCAAGTAAAGGAATCCATGTGCCCTCACAGAAAACAATAGGTGGAACTAAATGAAACGGAATTGTGAAAGGGGATATGAAAGCTCTAAAAATTGCAATATTCAAATATTTCTATAACTGTTTTTGTTGTTATTGTTGTTGTTATTTAAAATTTTGTCGCTGTTCTGATAGCGTTTAGTCATCTATTGTGTTTGTATGATTGTGAACTTTGGGAATTACCTAAAATAGATGCAATTGAAAGATTTCATTTTATGTCAAGTAAACTTACTCTAAACGCATACTTAGGTACACCTAGATTATATTGCTGAACTTGAAGGTGATCTTAGGTGATCTTGAATGTTTGTCGTAAGTGTATTACTTTTATAACACATGTTCAAGTTATTTTAATAAGATTCAATTTAAATAAAGATTGTGAATAGCAAAAAAAAAATGAAAAAAATTTTGTCATGTTTTACCATTGTCATACAAACTGTATTATGACGTTAGCCATTAGCTTATGCCCTATCTCTTTGGAATAATTAAGATTAGAGATTTTGCCCATGATTCCTAATTGTACACCTTCTCGAGCCCGCAAAATAAGCTTACGACTGATTTTCTTAAAAGCTGCAACTTTTTGTTCATATCAAATGAAAAAGGCATCATATTGTGTGACGTATTTAGTTGTAAATATACAAAATCATGTATTATCAGATGTGTCTGGCACTGAACAAACGTTTCACTTACATGTACCTTCTTTTCTTTTCTTTTCTGTTCAGATTATACTAATAATTCATGTTTCATTTAGTTGGCACTAAATTAATCAACCAAAAAGTAAACGCATTTTGTTTCTTTTATAGAACGTTTTAAATATGTTTTCTTACTGTGTACCCTAGTTGACAGACACAACCGTGTATTCCAGTGCTGTCATTTCTGCATTTAGCTTTGTTAAAGCACGTTATGTTCCCGCATAGCTTTTTATCGGCAAAGATGGTTTGAGCTCCGGTTGATTCATATACCAGTAATCCCTGAAAATGAATAAAGATATTTGTAATTGAAACTAAAAGTGCATGTTAATAATTAACGCGCATTTTGCCTTTTTAAAGAAATGTTTTAACCAATGGCAATGATTGCAAGTAAACTACGAGAATAAAATAAAAACATAGATCGAAAAACAAAAGGGTACAAATGTAATGTCACCTTGATTAGTAAAACTGTTAAAGTCACTGAAACAAGTTGGTAGATCGTCATTTCTATCCGTGTACTTTTATATTAATGTTGATAACTTTTTTAAAATACAGACTACAATTTTCTATTTATATATACATGTATGTACTTGTAAAGTAGACATCCTGTAAAGTTATCAGATAAGACCAAAAATCCAGAATGTTATTTACGTGATATTACAAAAAATACGTGTTAAAGAAGAGGAAATATATTAAATATTTGCTCGGCTAGATTATCGGACGACTTAGTTACGTCATTAATACGTGATAATTACGTGTAAGGAAACTGAATAGAATATTTCACTTCACTTGATAACAAACTCGCCGCTCGCTTTTCATGAAATGTCAATTACGTGTCACATTGAAGGTTCCATGATAACCACCGTATGAACACATCTGCGGATGTTTCAAAATTCCAAATTTTACCAGTTAATGTAAAATGTTGAATTCTGCTTAAGCGGGTGCTAGGGGATGTGGGCGGTAACTTGCACTTTCCATTACCGTCCATGAACAGGCTGAAACCGAGTCTGCAGCATTTACAATTTTGCCGTGTTGGACTTTCTTTAGGGATTCTTTAATTCTCTCTATTTGGTCAATATTATCTGTATAATGCGTTTTTTATCGTAACCATATACATGTACACTTAAAATTAGTGTTTACAATAAATTTATCATTGTCGTTTGTAACTCCCTTCTATAATAGTTAACGATATACTATTCTCAACTTTCGGTAAAATGCTTTTATTGCAGAAATGAATTGAAATCTAAAGGTCCAGTTAGAAAAAAAGTAATGCATAAACTTTGTTTGGGAAGCCGCATTCTCTGTTACTTGCCTCATTAATGGGGTCCTTTCTTTAAATCTTAAAAAAAACTGCCAAATCTTTGAAGGACACTACATGTATGTATTCTTATTTTGTTTAGTGTAGAGTTTAAAACGTTACATACTTTCTTTGTGTGTACTCAAAAGACGATTTACATTTCAAAAGAGACTCTACAGTAGTCAGTTTTTTTGTTGTTGTTGTTTGTTTTTTGTTTGTTTTTTTATTTTTTTTTATTTATTTTTTTTTTAGATATCCAATTTGAGTAATTTGATCTTTAATTAAAGTAATAAAAATAATTTTAGCAATATGTGGTATGATACTCGACAAGTGGTATAATCTAATGTTTTGCACTACCTTATTAAAAAAGCGTGTGATCGAAAGGTTGTTTATTTGAAAATGTACATTCGTAAGAAAACAAAACATTAAAACTGTTTATATGTATTATTCATTTTGGATTTCTTTTTCTTCTTATGACTTTTTATTTAATTTATTTATTTATTTATTTATTTATTTATTTATCTATTTACTTCTCTATTCATTTATTTTTATTTATTTATTTACTTATTTTTATTTATTTATTTATTTATTTATTTATTTATTTCTCTATTCATTTATTTATTTATTTATTTATTTATTTATTTATTTACTTATTGTTGTTTTTGTTGTTTTCATGTAGTATTTTAGTGGAAGATGGTTGATGGGTGGGATATTTCAGGTAAATGATTTACTTTTAGCACATGTTACAAATGTGCTTTCGTGTTTTGATGTGTCATAGAATCACATTCGTAACATTTTTAAGATACAAAATGGATCAAAAAGTGCATTTATACAGCTGTAAGACACTCATAACATTAAGTCTGTAATATGTATTATAGATAGCTTTGTCAATCCTTGTTGTGGACAATCAATTCATCTTTATCACGAATTAATCCCATTTATAATACACGTATTACAAATGTGATCCATTACGAATGTCGTCCAACAAAATGCTCGCCAACACAAGGAAAAAGCCTACTTTATGTTTCTTTGATTAATCACAACATAATAACATTAAAATTGCAGACTTGGTACATCAGGGTAAATGAACATCCGTCAGCCCCCCCCCCCCCTGCCCCCCCCACCGGCACCAACTTGAGTGGTACTCAATTTTCAAACACACAATAGTTGTGCAATCAATGATTCCGAAGGACCAGAACATTAGAACCACACTTAAGTACGAAGCAACTTTTTACTGTTGTCATCATTTGAAGTTTGAAGTATAAAAATCCAGAAGAAAGGTGATCAATATCATTTGATAATAATACATGCCTATCGAACCATACCAAAACTGTGAACACAATACACTTTTAAAAATCAATATTTTCTCCTTAATTAATATGATATTTAAGCATATTTTATTCTTAGAGACAGAAAAGAAAAATATAAACAAACAAAACAAAGATATACATTTTTATGCTTCTTTCAATTATTTTAATGTTAATTAATTACTATTTGACCGTCGTGGGTTATGGTGTGCCCAAAATATGCAATACGTATGGCGAATGTGTCGCCAAACGGGCTCCAAATACAAAGTGTCCTCAAAATCTTAACACCAAACGATGCTGAATATTCAAACAAAAACAAACCCTTATTGAAACATTAATTGAGAATAGGCTCAACATAAAGGAATTGCTGGACAAAATTCGAGTCGAGTTTCATATGTGCTGAAGAGATCCATAGGTGATATAGAAAACCATCTACAAATCAACGGATAACTTTCATTATAGTAACTGAATAGCATGTTAGTTTTGCCCCGTGCATTTGTTTTAAACTGGCTCGAATCTTTGAATAGTGTCACAGGTCCCTCTGGTCGTGGTGGCAATAAGTTGCGTACATATCGACTGTTTAAAACAGAATATGAGACAGAATTATATTGTACACTCATTATGCCTCCTTGTCATCGCACTGCATTTAGCAAGTTTCGTTGTGGTGTTGCGCCTTTACGCATAGAAACTGGGTGTTACGAAGGCTTAGTATAGGTTAGAGTGCATATTGGGTGTTCTTCGTAAATAAGAAAGCTAAAAAGGAGCGGAGCTTGCGAAGCGACTGTAGCTTTCTTATTTACGAAGAACATCCAATATGCACTCTAACCGGCTTAGTGCTCCGCCCATTTTTTTTCCGCCCAACACACTGCGTGACGTCACACGATAGCCTAAATGTGTATAACCATATTTGGAAGAGGTAGCGGTATACATTTTCGGGTCACGTGTTTTGCATAGCTTATTCCCGCATTCTGTCTAGGTAAATCAGACAATATCACGTTGCATATCCATATCGGTACCCTCTTTGCGAACTATTCTCAAACGGTACCCTCTTTGAACATACACAGGTCATTCTCTGCTAAAAACAAACCAGCGATGGATAACAATGCAGTAAAAATTCATTGTAATAAGGAATGGAGGTATGACACGTAGAAAAGATGTATACCACGGAACACTAGAATGTTTTATTTATGGGCTGATTTGTCATGTGCCCGATTTTCATGTACTGCAACTTCACAATAAGCTACAAAAAGTCGACATGTCTTGCCTCGCCCGTCATCTCGTCAAATTTTTCGGGCTGAAATGAACCTGTAGCTTGATTATATATGCAGCATACATATTTATTATGTCCATATACATATCATCTTCGGACAAATGGCAGTATATTGTCAAAAATAGATGTAAAATTAATAAAAACACCCTACTTTCGGTTTTGCAGCGGCACGGGCTGTTATATTTACATAAAAAGTAAGAAATATTACATACATACTTTGTTGGAATAAGTGAACCTTTATTTGGAAATTATAAAATGATACTGGTTCCGTAAGTAATAAAGCATTTTTACTGTTATTTTGCCTGTTTTCATTTCAATGAACCTCTTTTTTTAAGTCTATGCCGTAGTGACGATATACATGTGCGTGTACGGAAAAACATAATGCATAAATATTGATTAGTAGGAGTAAACTTCAAGATCTCTGCACATGCGTATATTTCACTTTAGCGCTCTTCGAAACTTAGCTCCGCCCACTTGCGTTTTATGATATAAAACGTCCAGTTTATATAAAATCTGTTCTATTAAGATTTGAAACCTGAAAATTTGAAAATCCTCGTCGGTGATTGGCTTAAAAAAATTGGCGAGCACTAAGATGTATTGGAACGAAAATGCCAGTTCTGTAACTGTATTGAATACGAAAGCCATGTCATTCTCGATTGCTTTGTGTACGATGACTTGCGATAATCATTATTTGATGAAGCTAAAACGGTAGATAACGCATTTGTTCAAATGTCTTAAATATTACTGTTCACTAAAACTGAAATGATACGTTATTGTGCCATAACCTGTTTTAACATTCTGCAACGTCGTCTTTTATATTCTTGTTAATAATGCCATTATAATTGCTTTAAACATGATAATGTATTTTTACCTAGGTTAAGGTAATCATTGCTAATCAGGTCATACAAGATCTAATCCTGGATGATAATCGATCTTTTAAACGGTTTATACGCCCATTAGGGCTCCGATTTACAATTCTCAATTTCTTAGCAGTTTTTATTTTTCGATTAGCGATTGATACCTTACTTTTAATATTTTGTTTATATACATTGTAATTTAACTATCTAATTTAAGTCTAACTGTAATATGTCTTGAATATGTTTATCATTGATATAATAATGTCTCTTGAAATTCTTAAATAGAATTTTCGTATGCAGATTTTATGAGAATATTTGTAAATATGTATAAAACTGTATGTATACGAATGAGACAAAAATAAAGTATGAATATATATGTGTGTCTCACCTGATGAAAGGAGCGCTGAATATAAAAATGTTTGTCATAAAGGTAACAAAATATAGATAAAATATTTATTTGACTTCCATACAAAATACTATACTAGAACTCCAAGAATAAAAATATTGTTCGTGAACATGTCTTATAATGATGAGATTACTGTAAAACACTTATTTTTCGCGAGAACCTTATTTCGCGAATTTGAGGCAAAATGTCCAAAATAATTATTTCGCGTCAACATGAATTCGCGCCTTCGCGTCCAAAAATGTGAAACCGGA